ATATTCATTTTGACGCAGTCCACAAGACTTCCTCCCTCGTTTCGGGTGAAAACGTGCTGAGCTTTCGTCCTTCATATGATGGACATTATCAGAACTAGGTTTCATTCTTGTAAGAGTCTTACGTTAACACTGGACCAAGAACACTATCCGGCTCTATCTTACTTTTTATATAGACTCAATTGAAAATGAAAAACTTAGATATATCGATATAGAGTGGTTTGGTTAATTTTCTTTCATACTGGTCCTCTTATTTTTGCTCGACTTTATGAGTGTGTGTATTTGTGTGTGTTAGCGTCTATGCAATACGGTTCCTAAATCAGAGCTGTCAAAATTTTAATCTCAGGTTCTGATCTTTAAGATCTAATGACCCAAGAAAAAGCCTTGACTGCGACTACGTAGGTCCGTAAACAATTATGGTTGTGATAATGAGATATGAGTTTGTAAGCATGAAAATCAAGTTACCAAAACATTTGTCCTAACCTTTCAGTTTAGGGTCATTAACATTTAACCCTCCAAGAAAAAACAAGACTGAGGTTACGTAATCTGACATTTTTGGTTTGGTTGATTAGTTTACTCTAACATTTTGGACGAATGTGAATGAAATTGGAACCATCACTGAGCAGAAAAATTAATACGGATCTACGTAGTCTCAGCTAAGGCTTTCTCTTGCGTCATTAGGTCTTGAGGATCCGAATCTGAGATTAAAACTTTGACAACTCTGATTTAGGAACCGCTTTGCATATAGACGCAGTGAAGGGGTAATAACTCCTCGAGTAGCACAGATGAGGTTACATGGGTCGAGTGAAATACTTGAACCAGGGTGATAGAAGACAGATTCTACGGGGCAAGAGGGAGACTGATATGACCCAGTGAAGGAGAACCGCGTAACAATATGGCAAACTTTGATTAGCATTCCAAGCACAAGAGTGAAGGGGGATGAGAACGCCAGCGTGGACTGTGGAGGGTTCTCATGAAAGCCCCTGAAAAGGGCACTCTACACTACATTTCATTGAGCACGGAAAAAGAAAAAATTGTGACAGTGAAGCCGTGATACGAGGGTATAGGAAAGGCAAATAGTCCAGGATAGAAGGAGAGATACAACAACTGTTTAGCACATATTTGGTCAAAGGATCGGCTTCACTTCTCTCTTTGACGAGTTGTAGTATGGTGCTAAGAATTGCAAGATTCAGTGATGATGCCGACTACGATGCCGGGGAAATGTCTGCGAATGTACTACTCTGGAAATTTTAATGCATACAATGAACTCCGATTAGGTGTGTTCCTATAAGTCTTCCTACCAATATGAACAAGTTGTGAAAACAAGGTCAAATGACTTCTATGCAACGAAAGGAGACTGCAATCGCACAAAAGGCCACATCATCTTGGTATTCATACCTTTGATTTAATTCCTCTTAATCCTTATCAAACTGTTCCAGTTGCCTAATTTTTATTTTAGTATTATCTAAAATTAAATATTTATTAAAGGTATGATGACCAAGAAGGTCAAACAACCTCTAAATATTTATTAGTTTGGAAATCTTCTTTAGCTTAGGTATATGAAATATTTGAAAGACAGCACTAGGCTCTTACTTTGTACTTGAGCCTATTCATATTCTTAACTAGAGGCAAAGATACATAGACCATGAACTTTTTATTCGAGTCCTTATTCTAAATTTTATGTACAGGCTCTGATGACTAAGACTCGACCTCATTATCGAAATCAATTTACTGCACTCCGAAATTCAATGAACACAGATGCCGAAGATGCATTCTCTGCGTTTGACCGTCGTGTCTTAAAAATGCATCAACCTGGCCTTCCTTACATTGCAGTTAGTGTGCGGACTCAGCTGATCCATCTTGAGCTAAAGATGCTCGACTGGCTGACGTTACCTGTGCCCCGGGACATGGTACTTCTCTCTCACCAACAACAGCAGCAAGGCTCGCTACAACAAGAAAAACAGCATCCGCAATTACAACAACAGCATCAACAACCAAAACAAATCACTACCTTATCCTCAAGTTCCTCACAGAGCCTCCAGTTGGGGAAGATTTCTACTCCCAATGATCTATTCCATTTCGATGAAGCTGAATCTGCCTGTCCTGATTCTACTGGACCTGGTATCTCCTCGACTCACGAATCCTTGGCGTCCGGTTTATCTTTGTCTACAAGCAATAGAATTGGCTCCGGGATTACTAGCGCTTGCCCTGGTTCAGAATCTTCACCTGGAGGACTACAGCGGTCTACTAGGTGTCCAGCCCCACTCGGATCTGTCGATCAAATGGAAAATGATCCCAGCTGCAGCCTTGATCTGGACGGGGATGACACATCCGCAGTTTCTGTGAAGCTGGTGAATTTTGTTAAATGCAGACAAATTGCCGAGCTTGTTGAACGCTATCTTGCATTCCAAGAAATGGCCTATGCATTTCGTGTTGATGAGACGATCAGAGTAAGTAACATTTTATAACCATATTTTCTAGTCTTAGTTTTGAGTGGCTTTTCGAGACAGCCCATATATTAATTTTTAATCAATAAATGGGGCTTCAGTGGCCCTATTTTGTATAATAAATGTTGATTTTTTTCGATATTTCTGATTAGTTGTGAGCTCAGTTTATAATTATTCCCTTCCATACGCTAATCAAATCCATACAAAGTGAGTTTATATAAGTTATGTATGTTTAGCAATTAAATGGGTTTTAAATACTGGAATCATGAGAAATAGCATAGAACAATAGTTTGCTATTTCGCAAGCTTCTTCTTTCTGCGAGACCAATTTACGGACCCGATCAAACTTATTCTCTCCTCAAAAGTCTATTCGCATTCAATTATTAAGGAAATTCTTTGAAGCATGGCTTTTCTCTATATAGATAGTACTTTACTTGGATCACAATCACAGCGCAATCAAGCTTCTCATTTGTACTTTTACATAGCACATTCATACTAATTTCAATTTGGAAGCAGTATGTGACTCACCGTCTCAGTTGCCTGGTTCTCAACCCAAATCTTTCGAGAGTATTAACTCTTTTGCACTGCCATTACTTACTTTCATGCATCCGTTTTTATATGCCTCTTCATTATCTCATCCTATGTTTTTCTAATAGTCTCATCCCTTGTAGCTCTCGTTAAACATGCAAATTACAACAATTAAGATAAAGTAAGTTTTGAGAAGTTGTTTGATCTTGGTTTTGCAACTTGGTCATATTAACAGGAAGACCTAGAGGAACGCACTTTGTTCTGAATCCTTAGTATGGATGATCATTTCCAGAGTCGGATCATGAACTTGAGACATTCCCAAACGTTTTGCCAGCACCGTAGTCGGCATCATTAGTGAGTCCTGCCATTCTCAGTTGCCAAGCTATAACTCGTCAGAGACAAGTGAAGTCAATCTCTTGACCAACTTTCTATCTAGACGGCTATACTATCACTCTTCGTTTTGTCCTGGTCCATCTATCCATTTTCTACCCTCTATTCTCGCCATCATCCTATCACAAGTTCTGACATGTTTATATTCCACAAGAGATATGTCCTTTTGGCGAATTTACCGTGGCGTCATCACACTTGCTATTTGCCTTGCTTCTCTCCCTTTCGAGTGGCTGATCCCGCTCTAGTCCCCTGTTCGAATCTGCCTCATGGGCCCGTGGTTCAGTTTCTTCTC